ACGAGTCAGATACATACATTATACACGCTTGCGTAATATGTATGTCCATCTTGTACATATTCATCTTGTCGCAGCATTGCCCTGCATCGAGACGTACATGTGTACACAACTGAGAATGGGTGGGCGGGGGGAACAAGTTCCCATTACCACGAGTACAAGTCTAATCCGTGCGTCAACAATGCACACAATACCCGGATTACACCCGGGAATAATTGAAACACAGTAATAGGCTTGCGTGCCGAGGATTTGGTCGGTGGAGATTACTGGCGGGGGATGGCAGGGGGCAGTCTCCACCAGACTAGCAGAACGCGGGTTGAAAAATAGTAAACTTTAGCTGCTTAGTTTAGCCTCCACCAGGCTTCTGAAGCGGATGGAAGGAGTGGGAATTGGCCAAACAGACAGATAACATGTCAGAGGGAGTTCATCTAGCCTTGTCGACGACTCACTCCCCTGGACAATTCTACTGACCCTATTTTTCTCGAATTCTACTATCAATAATAAAATATTTTTTAACCATGTATTAAGTATATTTCCCCACTTCAGATATTTGACTAGTAAAGAGAAATTTGTATTCCTTTTAACTTTTGATAAACCTGCTCTAAGTAATCTCACAGCCGCATATATCCATACAATCACTACTAAGCGAGATGAAGCCGAAAATAATAGAAATTAGACATTTATTTACGCTCTTATATGTTCATTTGTATGTAATGTATATGTTAATGTTCTGTACCCATGTGACCTGTACTTAGTTCTGTAGAACACAAATGTACAATAAAGGTCTTCATTCATTCATTAATAACCGGTTAACCCATTAGGAAGGCCTGGTGGAGGCTAGGCAGGGGGCACACCGGCTTATTTTCTATGTTTCCGCAGTCCGAGTCCGAACTGACGGAGAGAAGGAACACCATTGTTACACAGCAGACGGGCAGACTGTGCCTCACACCAGGACCACCTTGTTAGCAAGATCCAAGCAGATGTATGCCCCCTGCTTGTTTCAAACACCTTTCTGTCGCTCCGTAAACGAAAGAAAACTAGCATGTACACTACTAATATCCATTTTCCACTAAGGCAGCGACAAAAAACCTCAAGGTTAGTTCAAAGAAATTTCTTGATGGACAGATGTCGTTTGTAAGTTTTGCGTGTTTCCTTGTCTTTCAAATCATACTCGTACATCTTGGATCACATTCAATTTACTGAGGCATAGGTGATGCAAATTCAGTTTTGGTCACTCAATGGTTTCCAATTAGTGGTAAGGGGACATAAGAAAATCTCATCTCGCCTGAGACATTTGAATAAAGCAAAAGCTGTACATTTGGGAGACCACTTGTCACGCTAAGCATGGAGCTTTAAATTCAACCTTCTTGGAAGGAAAGAAATAGTTGTCATGTTGACATTTATTAAGAGGAAATCGTCTGCGTTAGTTAGAGTCTTAACTAGTCTAGAGGAAAATAGAGGAAAATATATGTAAAGTAATGTCCTAATTCATTTACTGCTATATATAGAGGTTCCTCATTTCTATCGGATTCAAACGGCACCAAACTTTTACGGTATGTTCAACCAAGAATGTTGATTTTAAACCTCCTTGGTTCCCAGGAGCCATTGCTTACAATTTACCTGTATATTAATACAGGTAAATTGTCATTAATTTCATTTTTTCTTACTTTTCATGTGCTTTTGTTTTTATCTTATGGTACTTTGTTATTCCTGTGCTTTGCTTGTATCTGTTTCATTGTACTTATATAATATCCTTTATTTTGATGTTGATATAAACGGGCTTGAGTGTGTTGTCATTGCTTCTTGTCAGCGAATGTTGTAGTAACAATATTGACACTCGATGCCAGTATTATGTACGCAAAGGTAGACTTTGTCGTCATTGTACTTGCATAATTATAAACTGAAGATGTCGCCTTTTCTCTCTATTATTTCATCAGAAGCGTAACCAAAGTCTCATTCATTTAAAATCATTCAATTCAAATTCAGGGCGTCGAAACAAAAAATATTCTGGATGAGGAATTCTCTGAAGGTAAACTGTACTCCTCTCTGTCTTTTTTTGCAAATTTCTACTCCTTCCAGTCACCCCTGAAACCTGCCGTTTTAGAGTTTAATGATGATGCATTTGAAGTTGGACAGCCACTAGCAAATCTGCTTCTTCCACAAGTGTCCTTTGAAGGACTAGGGAACAAATACTCGACATGAACGGTAAAACCCGTAAGCTTTGTGCGTTATGAGATTTGAACGGAGGGGCAAAATGGGTGGGTGGGAAAGGCAAATACTTCCATTAACACAAGTCTGTGATAATCGTTCTGTTAATAGAGGCGGACAATGGCGTCATTAGATAGCAGAACAATGGCCAACAGACTAATAGATTTGGTCGCAATGGATTAAGACCAGGGGATTACACAATTAGGGTGGGGAAGTAGTTTATTAACTGATTCTTGTGGAAAGCGTGTTCTCAGGGCGCGGGATTCAGCCGTAATGCCCACTGAAAGGACGTATTCACTGGTGTTTATGTCGTCAATGAGAGTTTTTCGCGCGCTTTTATTGGTAAATTACTGGTCAATCAGCCCTGTTTTGTTCTGGACGTTTTCTTGACTATAATGTCCATGCTGTGAGGAAGTTGTCTTCGTAATCCTTGCCAGAAAATCCTTTAAGAAATATCTTGTGTGTTTGACAGGAAAGATCCATGCCTTATTATAGTTTAGACGACTACATATACTATTGTATCAATACGGACTGGACCGTAGATCCACTGTATGTCATCTCAATACGATAAACTTCTTTTTGCCCCGTTTTAGACTTCAACAGTGTTACAACAATCAGGCTTCAGAAGTATCATTGTCTGTATGTTTCCGTTATATCCTTTTTCTACCACAGAATTTGACTGACTTTCATTTCAAATCGCAGAAGCCACCGCTAAAACGAACAGTTTAGTTTATCTTGATGATAGTCAGTAATTACACTTTCTGATGTGCCTGTCTTCTGGGTTTCCAGGCGCCACTAAATGACTCTTTTGTCTGTGTGTTCACTTCGCATCAGCATTCGGCTAAAATATATGTCACGAGTTACCGACAACGCGTAATTGCCCACCCAACCTCACTGTCATAAACGTGTGTTTTAGAGTGATTTTGAAACCTTTGGATCTGGGAATAAAAAAAAGTTAAGCCCAAGACTTGCGTTGTTAGAACTACGAGGATAATGCTGTATTCTACGCACAGATGAGACCTGTTGAGCCCGGCTCACTTCCACACAATTAAACTTTGGACGCGTCCGTCTGCTAGGCGACACCGGGACACCACACGCACGCGAACGGTGGGCTCGTCCACTCGGCTTTCTGGGGGGGGGGGGGGTAGAGTTGTAACTCTCCTGCTCTTGCATTCTATTTACACAAATCTTTTGATACGAGAAATAAGGAATCGCCAACAGAACTGAAACTACACTTAATGAAGTACAACAACAGTACAACATCAGCTAGCTCATCATGTAGCCCACACTTCTGTTTAGGATATGATGACATAACAACATTTCTAGCTTTTCCGCATTTTCCAAGCGTGAAAGTCTCGTTTTATCGATAGAATAACACTTAACCAAGCCCCCCCCCTTCTTCTTTTAAATTTGCCAGGTTGTGTTCTCTGTTATTTCCGTTATTTCTAGAGTCCTTGGGCGCCTTTGCGGGCATGTTGGCATCTCCAGTCGTTCGTTATAAACGCGCTCTGGCCTAGCACCTACCAGGCTGGAACTAGTAGAAATTGGCCAAATAGACTTTTAAATCACCGTCCGTGGTTACGAATTGGACCCTGTATCAAGGCAACTCCTCTGGTGTCCTATTCAGTTTGTTTTACCAACTTCTACCATTTTTCCAGCGCCATGATAAGCCTGGTCAAGGCTAGCTCTGACCGACTCACCTTTTCCCGAAGACGACTGTGACAGTCGGAGAAAAGGCGCGGTTGAAATGTACTGAAACGTGGCATCAGCAAAGATTTTGAGCAACCTTCTGGAGTTCTTTAAAATTCAGCTGGCTAGCTAACGACAGAAGAAAACACTTTGTTCCAAACAATTTTAGAGTATGTCAGAAAATCTCGTTGGTTTACTTACAGAAAGTGCTCTTTGCTTTCTACAATCCATCCGTTTATGCATTGCATGCGTTCAGAAGAATGAATTTCAGAAGCGGACGAAAGGGATTTTAAAAAGAAAATTCATTAAGAAAATGAAAAGATAGACTCACGTCTCAATATTCTTGTGCACGCGGTACAAAGCGTGAAAAAGGTTGAACAACTTGGAATTCTGTAACCATTTTCATCAAAACTATTCAACGGAATACTGCCACTTCCAGATATCCATTGAGCTCGAGCAACTTATGAGCTACAGCAAATAAACCGACTGACACTGATCTGCTAAGATGGAACTAGTGGAACATTCATGCAGCCTAAAAGACTTTCAAAATTATCCAATACACCAACGGTTATGATTTTATCTACATCTGAAATTGATTATCACTTACAAATTTGTAACGCTTTTCTTTGTCGTCTACACATCAGATAAAAGTAACATACACAAGAGTAAACAGGAATGACTGCTTCGCCCCAATCACCCCATTCCCCCTCCCCCTGCCTACTCACACTGACCGGTGCCTTCCCCAGTACGGTACGTGTAGTCCCGCCAGTTTATTAGGACTCTCTCCGTGAGGTTCTCTCGCTAATCTGGGTAATCAGGAGGACAATGGCTGGATAATGAGCGCCCGCGGTGAAATCCCGCCCTGCTGGTTAGGCCTGGTGATTGACAGCCAGGTAGTTCCAAAAATCCTCTCTCTCGCAAACTCCTCCCACTTTTCATTGTTTTCCAGGGCTTTATAATCCAACCCCGTCCACCAGAGAACACCAGTGCCATCACCGGACCGCAACAGAGAACAATCCACTCGTCCAGGATCGTAAACACGTTGTACGACGCTTTTGTATTCCGTGCATCATGAAGACCGTGCCCAAGGGAAGCACACACCTGCCTGGCCCCCGTATGGATCGGGAGGTCGCCGCCCAGAGACCCAACACCTTCACGATAGACTGGATCCTGGCGCACTCCGTTCAGGGGAAAACTGCAGACACCGATGCCCAGGAAACAGGTGAGTTGGCAAGTTTAGTTTTAACTTCTATTCATATCAAAAGACGTTCCTCCAATCCTTGGCTTTTTCTGTCCTTTTCCTGCTTGATGACGTAAAAAAGGATGCCAGGTTTTCTATGTTTCGATCCAATTGTTAGACTAGTTCGTGTTTTTGTTTCCTTCTGAAATGGTATATCAGCTTTTCATTGACTTGCGTGTATGTTGTGATTAAGGCTGTCGCTGGAAACATTTGTAATAGTACCAACATTGGGAATTAAGTTTTACATATTGAAAGATTTCCACTGCGTAGAAGAAATCTTTAGGAGTTCTGGTTTGATTTGGAACTAAAGTTTTTCTGACCACTGTTCTCCCTTTCTCACAGTGTCGGACGGTCCTATTTGCTTATCCACGAGCGCACGACCATCCCTGTCGAGAGAGCGAGGCCTCCCCGTCCCCTCCTCGGCTGGAAACAGCAGGGCGCAGCCGACAGCCACCTGCTCGTCCCCCCGCCGACCTGTTCCTGCGGACGACCGTGTCAAACGAGCGGGACGCAAGGGGGAAGACCGGAGGGAGTCCACACGTTCACCCTCGCCGGTGAACCTGTCCAGCCCGGCGTCGGAGGAGGAGCGGTCCGAGGCAGCGGCGTCGTCGGGGAAGATGTGCCGGCCCCGCCGTAACAGGACCACCTTCACGACGTTCCAAATCCACGAGCTGGAGCTGGCCTACGACAGGACGCCCTACCCCGACCTCAGCATGCGCGAGGAACTCGCTAACAAACTGGAGCTGACGGAGGCCAGAATTCAGGTGAGAAAACATCCCTCCTGTACATATTTCTATATCTTCAAGCTGTTGTTCTAAAAAATTGCTCGGCTGATGCTTTACTCTTCAGAAATTGGTAATTGTATGGCGGAATAAAACGGCGAATTTTATTGTTTGAACCTGTTAAAATTACATTGACTGACAAAGCAAGTGACGTCTTCGTCCGCGTACTTGTGTCATAATAACCTTCCTTGCCTGTGTAGCGTCCAGATTTACTCAAAAGCGTCTACGTAGCCCTGTTTCATAAAAAATCACTGTTCGTTACCCGGTATATTTTCACCGAGTTAGAGTAATTTTATAGTTTGACGGAAATTAATCTTGAAATTGATTGCGGAACATATTTTGATACCTTCAAACGTTCACTTTAGAAAAAAATCTTTCGCTACGACCTTTTCTCGAATCTGCGGGTTTCATACAAATTCTTTTTCTCGCCCTCTGCGTTTCCCTTTGTTATCTACTAGTCGTTGAATCAATACAAGCAACATTACTCGAATATTTGGCTGAATAGGTTGTATGGTTGTATTGAAAAAAATGTGTTTTCTGTTCTGAAAACTTACGATTGCTCCTCCTGCTGCAGGTTTGGTTCCAGAACCGCCGTGCCAAGACCCGTCGTCAGGAGAAGTCCGCCGGCTACCCGCCCGACTCCGTCAGCCCTCCTCCGGACTACTTCGGCGGCCTGTCTCCCGACCCCCGCCCGTCCGCCGGCTCCCTCTCTCCGCCGCACGACCCGATCTCCGCCCCGGACCCGCGGGAAGCCTTCCTCCGGGAGCCGTCGTACCTCCACCCGGGCCTGTGCCTCCCCACCACGCGGCCCAGAGCCGCGCCCGGCAGCCCGTCCTTCCCGTTTTTTACCTTCCCACGGAGCCACAAAGCGTTGGGTTACTCCACAAACTACGCCTACCTCCCCTTCCCCTTTCCTATGGCTATAGACGCCAAGGGCAGACAGATCTTCTCGAGCTCATCATAGAGACCCTGTAAGCCGAGAGAGACTGTAAAAGATTCTTGTAAATATCACATATCGTGTCAAATGATATTTTGTTAAATGTTTGTGTATGTAATTAGAGATTTTAAAGTTTTGTTGACAAGCTCCTCTTGTGTGTATAGATTTTTATGTAAGAGAAATTTAAAAAAAAACGACAATCCCACTCCCTTCGGAGAGGTTATATTATGCTGGACAATCATAGTTCTTTATAATAATCTGTATTTGTTTGTGGAAAAAGAAGTGAATGTAAAAACTGCACTTGTAATGTTTTATCAACGGAAGGGAATTGACAGAATTATTCAATTTGAATATGCATATATTCACGTACACATATTTGTTTTTGGCTACTTCATTTTACATGTTATTGCACTGGAAGCAGAATAAACCACGTGTGATGCACCTCTAACATCGTATGTGTTGTTTTATAAACTGGTACTCAAATATACTGTAACTAAGTAAAGTGTAAGTAAGTAAATTGTACCTATTCGGTGCATCTGCAACATTATATCATACAGATACTCAAAACTAACGGCAGACCTTTTCTAGTAGACATTGAACTCAAGTGTATATAGTTTTTACATACATGCACTTAAAAGTATTGAACTATTACTAAATTCCTAGGGCTAGTATTGGCCATACCTGGTCAAAACCCTGTCAAAACCAAATCTATTCCCATCCTCGTTGTTCTGGGCAAGATACATACAAATTCCCCAGAGAAGTCTTTTGAATCATACTTTTGTCCCCTGCATCACACAAATCCAAGTTTGAACAGTCGCTCAGCGATTGCCCTCTTGGAAAAGGGGGCCTAATTCATTCTTGTACAAAACTAGCCTCAATCAACTACCGGATTCCCCACAGACTTTGCCTATCAGACTCTGTAGGCAGGTGACGGAGCACGGAGACGGTTGCGCCGAGGGATAAGACAGACGCGTCGCCAGCCAGCTGCAGCTCAATATGACTGCTCAGCCAGGTGTGACAGTCTTGCTGATTGTGACGCACTAAACTAGACTTGTTATTGGTCAAGCTGGTTCCCCATTCTCACCAGAACCTATGAGAGAGAGTTTGCCTGTGTCAGTGTCTACGTGTAAGTTCGTTGTTTGTACATATATTTCACAAGCTTGTGAGTGTGGCGCACGTGCGCACAAGGTCCGTTTTTCAAGAGTTACGTAAACTGTTGACAGGTCCTAGTTGTAAGAACAGGCATGAGACAAGGTCCTTGGAAAATAGATAATTATGGCGTTAACAGGTCTTTATCAATGCTTTATCGATGATTTTTTTTTATTCCAACATCTAATCACCAGACGTGGTGACGGCACACTCAAGTTTTTTCAACTTATATTAATGCCGCCACCAACACAGGGGACAAATACATGGCAGGACAATACTCATTTACACCTGAGCTAAGTGAGGAAAGTCGTGTAAAGTGCCTTTCCCAAGGGCACAAGATCGGTGGCATGTCAGGACTCGAACCCGGGACTCTTAGTTCCGAGTCGCGCACTCTGCCGCTACGCCACACGATCCCACGCGATGATTTATCGATGATTTGTTTCTTTTAGTGTGAAAAGTTACATAAATCGATCTCTGTACGCATCCAGGTCCCCATTTCATAAACTTTTGTGCTTCATACAACAGACAGGAGTCTTGAAAAGTTGATGATTATCGTGTTTTTATCCAATTAAATGTCATAGGACTTTTCGTCGCAGAGGTCTGGAATCAACTTTAATGATCCTGTATTCTATGCACCTAGGTATTCAAGCTTCAGTCCGCCAAGTGTTTTTGATGAAAATGCCGTCTTCCATGGAAGTTAGGTAACTTGCTGCCAGGTCCTGATTGGCTGGATTCGGCCCACCTAACTCTTCTATCCACCAATCGTGACGGTTTCAGACTGGCCGCCAAGATCTGATCGCACCTCCCCAAAAGGTGGGAAATAGATGCTTTACAAATCTACATGCTGGCTTGATACTCGTACTACGTGGCCAGTTGAATAATGTCTTCCAGGTCGGCTAAGCTCATCTACCCTGACAATATCATCAGTTTACTTCTTCATTCCGATGCATATATTGCCCACGCACTTTCCTGGTGGCGTTGTGCAAGTTAGTTTTCTTTATCCTGTACTTATTACTAATAGGTAGGGTATAGGTATTATATTTGTTGGTGTATTTTAAGTATATCTATATATTTTGTGTCAGTGTTTGTTGGATATGTGTACGTACCTGATACAAGTAGATAAATGGAAAATAAAAAATAAGATCCTGGCCACCAGTAAAACTTTGATATCCATGTCTGTGTGGGTGTCAAATGTGTCCTCCAGACTCTACTAATAAAGTAGACCCTTCTCACGCCCACATTCCCTGTAGTGAAAGAAAATGAAGTACCGACTTCCCACCATTAGATTTTCTTCTGTTTTCCAAGACGCTTTATTGCGGATGTAAAGTGCCGAACCAGAGACCCCAAGTACCTACGTCAGAAAACGTCACGAATACGTAGTTTCTGCCGTTACTATGGTAACATATCGGCAGTGGTGACGTATTTCCGGTGTCCCAAAAACAGGACGACCAAGCGGAGACCGTGCTTTACTCCTCGTAAGTGTTCCGACCGTCTTTCAAACGCTAAACTCTGGCATGTATGGTCTGATGCCAATTATCAATAATTGCCGAGCATAACTTTTCTCTGATTGGCAGGGGTGTTCTACCATAAGCTCGTTCTACACTCGACAACAAAGGCACAATAAAGCTTTTCTCTGAGAGTCCTTCGTGCCGCGACCACATATTTTATAAGAAAAGCTAACACATTCGTTAGCGGCGTTGAGGAAAAAACACGAGGGATTTTTGCACGAGGTATGTTCGACAGGTAGCTGACAGCTTTCTCCCATAATTGTTGGGTAATGTTTCGGGCGATCGGCCAACTTAAGCCCCTGTTACAGCTGAATATGGCCTCCCGAACACTGTCGAACTTGTGTAGAAACACTGCCGAAAACGTGGATGGGAGATGGTCGGAAGCAATGTCCGCTGCGGTTGGCTGGTGTTCAGTGAGGTAGCCTCCTGTGCAAGCGGGTGTGAGTTTTGATACTGCGTTTTGTAGAGTTTTAACGTGTTCTTTTAATTGCCGACCATCCTACAACCAGCCGCAAGAGAAGGTTTCCATCCGCCCACGCACAGGAGGCTAGGCGAAGTTGGCTACTGTTGATGTGCCGAATGTTTGAAACATTCGGGAGTGGGCGGGTGCTGGTTGGCTGGTGGTTGGTAGTAGGTCAGCTGTGGTCGGGGCGTGGCTTGCCTGACATTCAAAGTTTTGACTCAAATTTGATTCGATTCACATCGAAAGGTACAACGTCAGCGTGGTCTAAATTTAATCCGACTGCTCCAACTTGGGTAGGTTGGTGGTCGGGAGACGAGGCCTCGGTTCCGAATGTGTGACGGGGCTTAACCAAAATAGTACGTAGACTTTATTCAAATAAATGGGAAGAAACGCTTTGATGCCGAGAGTTGCTAGGCCAGGCACAGTTGTAAGCAAGTTGTTGATCACCCCGTTTGTCCCGATTCTAATATTTAAGCAAGCAAAGGATTCTGGAAGAGACTAGTCCGACCAGCCGGCATCTTGTAGGACAGGAACTCGTGAATGCCGCCTCTTTTTACCGCGCGCGGCGAGCGGCAGTAACGCTAATTTTTCCCTGACGGCTCAATTATTTACTGCGTTCGCAAACAAATTGGCGAAATGTCGATGACAGGCCAGATAAGGGCGCCGTCTTGGGACACAGACAAGCCACCGTCCTACCGACCTGTCAATCAGCCCATACAGGTCCATTCAGCTGTCACAATTCGTTTATTTTGTGAAATTTCCTTGGGACACAAATTGAAGAGTATTACAGGACGAGGTTGTTCTTTTCTGTCTGTCCCTGGCCTGCCTGTCCTGATGAAGCCCAGCTGTCTGTGTCCGGGGCACGGGAGCCTTTCTCCCACACACATTGTGACACAACCGTTAATAACGACTACAAATTTGCGCTAATTGAATACATCCATTAACAAGTCTTGAGTGAATTCAGACACGTTCTTATTTTGTTCCCAAGTTCTTTCAAAACATCATTTGTTTAATCGTTTCTATTGTTTTTATTTAAGTTTCCTATTAAAAACTCCTAGATCTGTCATTTTTGACATTTTTTTTTTTTCAACTTTATCGTCTTCTGTCAAATTTCCGTTTCTGGTGATACACTTCTTTTGAAAAAGTAATTGACACTCGTAATCAGTGGAAAACTTCAATATTCAAAAGTGAAAAATTTGATATTGAGAACATGTAGTCTTCGGTCGCCTGTTAAGTTGATGCAAGGGGGTTTAAAATCACGGGTACGTAAATCAGGTCCAAGTAAACAATTCTACACATGCATAAACGCGACCACATCGTAAAAATGCAGGAAAACACCGTGATTTACTGTAAGTTTGCTACACCGCAGGCTAAGAGCCCTAAGCCTGTGCCAGGCCACAGCAGCAAGCTTTAGCGCAGTAGCAGCGCCTAAGTGAATCTCGTGTCCATGGTAACTGAGGTGGAAAATGGACATTGTCAAACGCATCCGCTCCCACTGATTGGGTGCACTCACGAAGCCTGGGTGCCGTCCGGCTGAGTTTACCTTCGCTCCGGTAGGCGCTACTATCAGACTGGAACCCAGACTACCGGCGCTATATCACCGGTGTGCCAGGCAGGAAAAGTTCCAGTGCACCGCAAACTCAGCCCACAGCCCTGGAAGAACCTGGTGACCAGGCTAACGTTTCGAACGTCTATCGGAGTGGACATAAATTAACCAGGTCTGCGCCCCGTCATTAAAACCCAGACAGCTGTCGCGAGTGCAATATCCTGTGCGTTTTTACTTTTGTTTTGTGAAACGACTCTAGTAATGATGATGTATGTTAGCCTAATAAGATGTGAAGACAGCGAACACAGAGGTATGCCGCCCTGGGAAGGGTGCTGACAGATAGATTGGTGAAAAGTTGTTCTCGACTATCATCCCCACTTCCACTGGATGGATCCCGATGATGGTCACGATTCCCAAACCGGGCCCCGGCCAGGCTGTTTGCGGGAACAAAAAGTTGATACGATATAAAAGGCAAGAAAACACACAAATAGTTGAAAAAATTATCATGAGCACTATCTGTTTATATTCTTATTAACATGTGTTGTTTATTTGTCGTTCACGCAAACAGCCCAACAACATTAACCAGGCCCCGGTTTTGAAACCTTAATATATAGCATGCGCTCAGCAACCGGAATTAGATTTATATGTCCTATGACTTTATAGAGCTCACCCGAGGGGACCCTAGGCAAAGCTCATTTTTACCTGAGTCAAGTGTGAGGAAGGACACAACATTAGGGCCTGCCAAAGATGCGAACTCAGAACCTTCAGATTCTCAGTCAACAACCCCAACCACAAGACCACCCTGTCACCTTTGGGTTACAAAAGCGAGTCTACCGAGCACTTTCATCTTTAGCCGCTACTTCTGAACAATTCCCAAGGCCAAAACTATCAGTCTACTGATCACTTTCATCTTAACACGATAATTCTGCACAAGGTCATTTTAGAGGGATCTATCAAGCCGGAGGGAGGGATGCCACCGTGCTGTAACAAACAAACCCCGATCCTCGAGACTCCAAGATGAGAATGACACAAGATGAAGATATAACGAAACTTCCCATCTGCACAAGTGAAAGTGATCTACGTTGAATACCACTTTTTCCGCCCTCATTTATTTGCTTTCTTCTTCAAGAATGTCCTTCAAAACCTCTTCCTGAGTCTGTTCTGTTTCATATGAACAACTCCATCGTTTATGACGTAAGAGATAGCAAGTCGTGATTAATAAGGATTTAACATAGATACGCTGATACTGAAGATGACATATCCGGTCTGGAGAATTATTTAAGAAACTTCCCGTTTGTACTTGTATGACAGTGTTTTAGGATGAATGTTTCATTTACCGTGCTGATTTCTTCGCTTTCTTGTTTATGCTTAGGTCACAATTCAAGAAAGGGGCCCGCTCGGCGCGTGTTCGGCGTGTTTTTTGGCACTACCGAACGGGACCTGGACGGAGACCGGCGGGCTTCCCGACGGCTGCCGGCCTATTTTTGGCCCCGCGCGGTCGCCGAATCGATTTTAACTCAGAGTTAAAAACACTTCGGGCCCCGTTCGGCGAAATACGCCGAAGCGACGCCGTAACCTCACTGCCCGGGACCCGTCGGGCGGCCGAACAGGCACCTGCCTAAGATTATGACGTCACTTGTGTTGATCAGTGCATCAGATGGTCAGGAAAAGGGGGTTATAGGGAGCATATATAAACTCCTGCCTCAGATTACGTCGCACAGTTCACCACGTGTGTGTTACATCGTGTACTTGTGTGTGTTACACCTTGTATGTGTGTGTCAGAATGTCGAAGGGCAAGGGAAAACAGCCGGCACGGCTCTCTTGCCAACTTCATAAAACAGATCATAACAGGAATAGAATGTGTCTGACATTATCTCTTGTTACATCATATGCCTTCGTAATAAAATGGAATCAGAAGTTATTGGCATTTATTTTCAGTCCAAATTTCAACAGAAGTAACGATATTCAGTGGTTTTATTGCTCAATAGCAAGGAGCTGCCACGGCACACTTCCTGCGTCACTGCTGAAGTACTTCCTGCGTCACTGCTGAAGTACTTTCGAAAGTAGGCCCTCGGTTACTTTTGCGACGCACCAGTTCTGCCTGCCTCTCTTCTTCAGCTACCAATGCCAGAAGACCTACATGTAGGTTGTCACCAATCTCAATCTCAGACGGGTTTGTAAGTTGTTTGCAGGTTGCACTGAACGCTGCATCGCCAACTTCAGTCTACTCTTTACTTGACGTGTACTCTTTACTTGAAGTGAACGGTAGCAGGCAGTGCAGCGCTTATATATGTACCTGCTCAAAAACACGAGAGGAGCCCGTCGGGATCCCGCCAGGAACCCGCCAGGGACCTGACAGCTGCCCGGCCGAACTGTAAGAGCCGGTCGGCACCCTACCACACGCCGCACGGGTCAAGACGGGCGACTGACCTGGCACCGGACGGGTCCCTGACAGAAACCGGCCGCAAAAGTTTATGAATATTAATGAGAGCCGCCGGCCGGAGCACAAGCAGGCCCCGACAGGGAGCCGTAAAGGAACATTTAATTGTGACCCTGACAGTACGGCGCACGCTCGGCGTCATGACGCCGGTCGGTGTCTACGCCGAGGACATGCCGAACGGGCGCCGTTTCAAATGTGACCTAAGCATTAAGAACGCCCTTCCCGATACTGTTCTGTTGTCTATTAGCATCTCCATCGTTTTCCATGAAGAAGCAGATATCAAGTCGCAATGAAGAGGAATTTCAACATGGTTAAGTTGGTATTTAAGATGACATATCCTGTGAGCGAAATTTGCCATTAGCAGCTGTACAAATGACAGTGATATGCGCTGAATGATACTTTTATCGGGAAGTTTCTTCTCTTTCTTCCTCAAGAACGTCCTTCAAAAGAGCTCGTTCTGTTCCGTATGAGCAAAAACGTAACTATCGTTTCCCATGACGCAACAGACATGAAGTCGCAATGAAGAGGGATTTCACCATAGTTACGCTGATATTGAAGATGACGTCATATTCTGCGTTGACAGGTTGAGAAGTTATTTTCAGTAGTTAGTACGTTGGTAATATATTTATCCAGTCTGATCCCTACGTGTGGCCGGCTAATAACACGCGCTCCTGTCCGGTTGGTGTTTAATGTGTACGCAGGGCCGGCGCCAGCCATGTCTTTGCTGCCTGTGTGGTTCCTTTGTAGAGAAAATAGCCTCTATCAGGCTTCAGAAGAACTAGACTTCTTCCCTTGACCTCTGACCTATTTCCCCCTTGGAGTTTGTGTCACTTGATTCAAGTTTTCAGTTACTCAAATGCATGTTTTATTGTATATTCTGTCCATTTCTATGTATGATTTATTTATTTATACCATTTTACTTTGGTATAACCCACTCACTCTCTCACTTTCTTTGTATATTCCAGTCCTGTATTATTTCAGATTGGACACCAGAAAGAATCACTGTTGATAGAGATCTTAATGAGCCAAACGGAAGACTATTGAAACGTTGGCAGGTGAGTGATATTAACAGATACTAGGAATGAGGAATGGTTTCCATCTACCACCTACGTAACAAAACAACCCCAGAAACATTTCAACTATTTATTCTTCAAACAGTGGTCAAACCATGCATATACATAAAATCAAACAAACAACGAAAGAATCCAGCAAGAAATCATACACTTTCTTACAACAACAATCAATATATAGTGCATGCATTCTATAGTCCCAAATGACGTGAGGTTTACCACAAAATACCAGCATTTCGATTTCTTTTTGACAAAATAGTGGAACTGATACGATAACACACTTGTCTATGGCGGCACATTAACGGAGCTTTTGGTTGAGTTATAATACATGTACAAGTTGTTTTCTTGTTTTTTGTTGTTGTTGATTGTGAAGTTACAAGTTCTTTCATCACCTCCAACTCCTAAGACGTAAAGTCTTTGTATGAACATTTTTTAGAGGTCCGGCCTCACCATTAGTAGCTAAACGCCATAAGATTATATCAAATCAGACGGTTACGTTTAATGTTACGTTGTACAAAGAAGGTTTATTCAGTCCTGCCCACGATACCTGGTATAAAGACCGCCCCTACCTTTGGCTATGGTGAACTGTTAAAGTGATATGTGAACGTGTTTTATCGAACCTGTTGATTAACTTAAGACCTTGTGTAATTTTTTATATGTCGAATCATTTATAAAGTCTTCCTCAAAGTTTTCTTTGTGAGTATCTTGCAGACTGGCAGGTGATATTTTTAAAAAGGAATCCACAAAACACAATATATAACAAAATCTTTTTCACAGAATCATAGTCTTGTGTAGTACTTACTGATTGTCGGAAAATGCAACATTCAAACAAACACAACAGAAACAGCTTATCTTTAACAATATATTGCACTTCATGCTTTACATATGATCTATATTACAACGACTTGGAGAAGACGACCCAACCAAGTACTGACGAGTACGTCGGCAGAACATACTCGTACTGCTACTGAGCGAAAGGTTTGCCCGCTTCATCCTTGGATACGCGAATACGACCTTAAATGAGCCGTGCGTTCTACCGCAGTGTTATACTCAATACCTTGCAGGTTTCGCACAGGCGCAGTACGTTCTGCCGACGTACTGTACTGACGCCATAACGACATCACCAAGGCACAATATTGTACACAACACTTCAAGGAAGAATACTTCATTTTACAATATATAGTCCTGATTTATGTTGAACAATTCTCATCACAGGCAAACGTGTTTTGGTTACAAGAAGAAAGGAAGGCGACGAAGTTGGAAAGAAAGGAAAGATTAGCGATTGAAATTTGCCCGATGTAATCTCCAGGCAGATCTTTTCAAGGGAATAGAAAGAACATGTATATGACAGAAACGAAAAAGAGAGTACGTAGCAGAGAAAAATGAATATGCTAGCTATATAGGGAAAGAATACTAAAGGAGAATAGTACTGTGTGAAATCATATATTTAAGCGTACCTTAAAGCATATGGAAAGTTTCCGTTTTTCAGTCGACGGAAATTACACAACTTTACAGATGTTTAAGGTTTGCTTCGATGACGGATTTCATGCAGCGAAAATAATGAAGTGAAATTTTCACACAGTGCACCAGACGACGAAATTGCACGGGAAGAGATACACCAAATACATAGTACTGAGTGAAATATCCTGTTCAAGTTCGTGCAAGGACAACACAAAATGGCACAACCCTCATCATTGCACATTTGGAACATGTGTAATCGTTGGATTAATATTCCTGCCTTCTGTCGTTGAAACTTGTCTTGGGTCTCTCAACAGAGTTTCAAACTGACTCATGAGTACGGGAACATCTTCCCCATAGACTCGAGGTGCTCCTTAGCACGCATCCTGAGGGCGGCTACGCTGGCGCTTCTGCTGTCCGGGGCCACTTTGGCGAGGTCTGGGAGCGAGGCTATGGGGAACATCGCTGGCAGGGTGGCGGAGGACAGCAGCGACGCCGCGAAGACCGAGTTGGAGGCTATGCCGGAGGTGGTCGGGGAGAGGGGGAAGCCAGAGATGGCGGCGGCGCTGGCGATGGGAGCGGTCATCCAGGGGTCCACCGGCAGGTTGGCGGCCAGGGAGGCGCGCTCCGGGTTCCGCACGTGGTTGAGCGCCGCCATGGGGTAGTCGTGCAGCTTCATGGTCTGCGCCTCCATCTTCTCCTGCCGCCGCCACTTGGCACGGCGGTTCTGGAACCACACCTGGGGGACGGCAGGGGAGAACATGGTCAATAGGGCAGTCTGGATTTCTGTCACCCTTGGTTTTATGATCGAAATATGAGACAGGATTTAAAAGTATGGTTTAAAAAACAAGCCAAAAAATCGTTCTTTGTCTTTGAAATTCGTTGAGCGATCTTCCTGATTCTTGGTCACATTCTCTAGTGGAAAGGTGGTGGAACCACCCGTGGAACTTATCTTTTCACGCTACCCAAGAGATCATAGATGTTTATAAAGCGTTATGGTAAGGCTTAGAAATTCATTAAAGGCCACAAATCTTTGTCGATTTTTGGAGTAAACTGAAGGTCGGTATGCCGTACCAAACACATATCATAGAAGACAGTAGGCGAATTCATATTCCACTGCCTCAAAGGTCTAGCTGAATGTGTATTTTTAGAATGTAGTATTTAGTGTACCGTAGGAACTAGCTCTTAATAACTTTAACATATATAATTGAATGGTATATCGTGTATCTGCCCGTAGTTTGTATACTTCTGTACGTTCCGATTTGTCAACACCACATTGTCTGTAAATAGCCACAAATTTACGACAGTTCGTGCTTTTCACTGAAACAAAGCCGCACACACACTGCACATTGTACAGTCCTAAAGGTGTGACCCGGAAAACAGGGTAATCGCATTAAGATAAGCATCTACTTGTCAGAATTGGGGAGAATTCTGCGGTGAAAAACGCAGAAGATTGCCTTAATGCTTCCGGTGTGCGGGCTAATGTTGGAGCTGAATAAATGTGTGTTTGTTTGTGTGTGTGTGTGTGTGTGTGTGTGTGCGCGCGTGTGTGTGTGCGCGTGTGTGTGTGCGCGCGCGTGTGTGTGTGTGTGTGTGTGTGCGTGTGTGTGTGTGTGTGTGTGTGTGTGTGTGTGTGTGTGTGTGTGTGTGTGTGTGTGTGTGTGTGTGTGTGTGTGTGTGTGTGTGTGTGTGTGTGTGTGTGTGTGTGTGTGAGTTTGTGTGTGTGTGTGTGCGTGAGTTTGTGTGTATCTTTCGAAGATGGATGTATCTTCGAAAATCAACATTTGATCAAAATAGGAGGTGCTTTTGTAAGAAGTATTAGTTTTAGCTCGAAAATTCTTCTGTTTTTGTTTTTCTCAAATCTTCTCTACACGTGAACATCAGTACAGGCTGTTAAAATGAACAAATTGCACTCAACGTTAACAAGAGAGGACGGTAACAACGGTGACTCAATTATCCATCTCAAGTGTTTTGCTGTCCACAAAATTCGCAGAACCCAACCGTCTTTCTGAGTGAAAGAAATCCCCAATTATTTCAGCAGCTCGTCAGCGCTCCAGTAATGCTAAAAGGCGCCATAAGAACGTGATTGACAGCTCCTTTGTACGACGCTAATTCGTTCCCTTCCATGACATTAGGTCCTTTGGACGCACAGGTTGATAAGTGTGACAGGTCGCTTCTTGTCGCAGGTTTTGGGCCATCGTTGGAAGAACCACGCTTGTCAATTAAGGAATTCCACAACAATACCCTGTCACATTAGGGGAAGAAGAGTGTTTTTTGTGCGGGGGTTGGGGGGTCCGCTTGTAGCAGGAAAAATACCAATGTTAGTTGAGTATTAGTTTTAAGAAGTTGTTCACTAACCATTGCATACTTTACGGCAAGATTTTGAAACATTCGAATTCGATCGGCGCAGTCGATAGCAGCAGACCTCGCCGAACACCAGCCAACCTAGGCCTACCCCTAACCATGGCTGGTGGGCCGGGAGTTCGGGAGGCCATATTCGGCTATGCGTGACAGGTGATTCAGATATGGGCAGCCTGTCATATTAGCGAGTATGATCGGTTTCATGGATAAAGTGATCCCAAAATTCGTCAATTCTGCGGAAAATTACAGATCCCCATGCCACCTGTCAATTTCATCTCCATTGTTCCGCCCAGCATGGTGCACATCTCATCCCATAATACGTACATAGTCTTTGTAAGGTAGGCTAGTCTCATAGTATGTTTAATATATAGCAGTAGATACCATGCGCCGGTCAGGAACGTCCTCTCGGTCGTGAATATCCCATCCTTCTTATCTAAAACAGTATAACTTCTCAAGAATTCTACTGCCTACATCCCCGTAGATATGCCTGGTGGATCCTAGCTCACAAATTGTACATGCAGAATTTGATATGTTCATATCTTCTTCACCGGCCGTTATACCTGACCCTACCCAGACAAAACCACACGCCCCTCAAACCCTCCCAAACTCCCCATCCAATTATGAAATAATCATTCCCAAATGCGCTCTCAGAAGAAGCCAATTATACTGATCGAATGGGCTCACATAAAGATTAAATTCTATGGAACATGTGTTCAAGTCTACCCCACTTGTCATCCCTGTTAGTGGCAGGAGTTGTCAGTGAAAACTTACATCTGCTACGTGTACTCTTCAAGCAGTGGGGTAGGATTCGACTTGTTTTCGACGTGTTCTAGGCGTTTTAATCGCGCGCATATCGGGTCCTCTTTTTTGTACGGTATCTTGTTTTCGCTAGCCAAGTGTCGGATACTAGCCAGCCAGTGATACTGTCTTGCAAATTTGATTAGGCCAGATTTTGTACGAACAAGTACAATAGGGGTGCTGGTGACACCAAAATAAAACAGATGTACAGAGGAGATATACTGGCTATACTGATACATACAGATTCATTTGTCAACAAATGAATGATCGGATTGTTAACGTTGTTGGTGTTCTTTTTTAAATCCAACCTAACAAAACATCGCCTGGTGTTATCGTCAGAAATACACGTTTCACTGAAACAACGCACGATTATTCCTGAGCCTGCGATAAGGTACAATTTCTGTTTATAAACAAACGTAACAATTGTTACTTTAGTCGCTTAGCAACGCTTCAAGTTACAAAGCTGTTTTTGTGTGATAATACATGTTAACAGATAGTATGGGTATCTTGTATGTGTTAGCAGAGCTATTATTTACCTGGCGTTCGAAAGCGTGGACAGCTCACATGTCATTTTCGCAGTCATGATCAACAAACGGGTGATTTCAAGCAATAATGAATTTTTCCCGATATCAACTCATTTCTACTTAACTCTCTGTTGCGAGTAAAACACACTTCAAGTGGTCCCAACACAATTATATTAATTGCCTGTGTGTGATATATCATCATAACCTCATCAACGAATACCTCATTATCGATATCATTTCATATCAACCCAAAATTCACTGTTTCCAAGATTACAAAAGTAAAACACACTTCAAGTGGTCCCAACACAATTATATTAATTGCCTGTGTGTGATATATCATCATAACCTCATCAGCTCTAAAGCCTTTTAATAACCCTTTATTTGACAGGAGGGGATCAATTACATCCAGCCGCCCAGCTGACACGGTACAAACTATGCCCTGTATGTGAATTATGCCATCATTTCTGTCTCCGGACCTCCATAATTTATGAGGGACCACAAAGGCGGAGACATGATTGTAACGATGATTTCCGTAGGTTGGAATGTCCACGGAGAACAAAAACAGCAAGTCCCTCCCCCCCCCAAGACTCTAGTTAATTGGTGTTTAAATTTTTCTGATAAAAAGTGAGGGAAAAGTATGAAATGAGTTGTTCGTACATTTACAGCAGTGAGATAGGAGAAGTTGAACCTGTACACCCTAGTATACATTAGCTACTGTAGATGTAGTAAGATATGACACAAATATATATATATATGATTGTAATTGTACCTGAAGGCTGCTTCATCACAAGGACCCATACTTAGCTTGTAAGAGCATAAACGTACAGTAGAGGTCTTTTATTTATTTATTAAAGTTATGGATAGATCCTTCAAACAATCATTTTGACACATGTCAATTCTTGAACAGATGTTTTGAAAGACTGTACAATGTATTCTGTCATCTTAATCCTTGGTTGATAACTCCAGTACTTGAAGGCATGACTATTTCTTGTTCTTTTCTGGGCAGACATCAGATACTTAGTAGTCGGTACGTCCACCAATTTATTAGTCATTTTGCACATCGCGGTTTTCGTTGGATATTTGGTCAACGTTGCATCAGAACTTTGCCTCTTGAGAAGATATCCCACAGAACATTTCAATACGAATACGACTTAAACATGGCGTTCTGCTGAAGTGCTATGTACAACACAAGGCGCGTTTTCTGCAGGTAACGTACAGTACGTTCTGCCGACATGCTGCGCCGACCCCAGATGTGCAGCGACACCAAATTACCAATTGTGTTACAACAAACGCACAATGTGTGAGAAAACAATTAGCCGTTCTCACTGGCGGTGTGAGCGACCTTTACCCAATAATGGCCTCATTTTCTCCGTAAATGACGGGAATTAAAAAGCCATGGATTATTATTCGTGACCGACAGGGGATTGATAGATGATAATTCTATTGTCGCAGTGGGCTTTATTTACAAATTAGGACTTGTGAAGTGATTGTTTGGAAGACCCTCTGTGTGTAAATGTCAGAAGTTTGCTGAACAATAACGTAACACCCTCTGGAGTCATGAAGGTGTGCGGGGTTCAGACAAGGGGCACCGAGTGTCATCTGTCATAGGGAGCTGTGTTAAAGGCACCCAACGCGATTTCAGGGCAGTAAAATTTCTGGTCATTTTTTAAAAATGTAGTTAAATTGAAACAACCCTAGTTAAATTGAAAGAACCCTGCCCCATCTGTGAGGCAAAAATGCGATGTCGCCAACGGAAAACAGTTGCTTGTTTCGTACTGTAGGCTGGTTCTAACTATTTATTAGTGGTACCCCAAAAATCCCGGTGGTACGCCGGAATCCTCACGTCGCTTGTTTTGGACTTTTTCAAATGCTTCAAATATAATCCTCATCCAGAATATTTTTTTTTGTCGCCCTAAAATAACGTTGGATGTACTTTCATCTGATGTATCATTTTCTTTGGAATGAAAAATTAATATTTCAATCTTTATTTGGTTTCAGAAGTGCAGCATTTCAGAGGAGCAATTCGTGTAACAGTTACAGGTGATGTTAATCATAC